TATTGTCAGTGACAGGATAATATCTATACTCATACAAGGAAGTCCAGTGAATACCACTATCATTCAAATATATGCACCAACAACCAGAGCCAAGGAAGGGAGATGTTGGCAAATAGTATGGGATATCCCATGGACTGCCAAAAAAACCCACAAATCTATCCTGAAGGAAGTGCAGCCAGAGTGCTCTGTAAAAGCATGGATTGTGAAACTTCGTCTCACTTACTTTGGCCATATATTCAGGAGACCTTTGAAACATACATACTGGGAAATGTAGAGGCGCAGGGAAAGAAAGGTAAGACCCTAAACAAGATGGATTGACACAGGACTTGAGCATGACAGAGGCTGTGATGATGGTGCAGAATAGAGCAGGTTCAAAGTGTTGTTTACAGGGTCGCGGTGAGTCATAATTGAGTTGCTGGCACCTAATAACATCATGTAACTGGAATCATTCAGTATCTGGCCTGTTGTATCTGGCTTATTTAATTTCATAATGATTTTATGATTCATACATGTTAAGAATATATTAGAACATCATTCCTTTGTAATCTCAATTAATAGTTCATTTTGTCTATGTACTGCATTTTGTTTATCCATTGAGGATACTTGAGTTATCTCCAACTTTGGACTGCTATAAATAACAGTACTGTCGAAACATTTTTGTAAAGTATTAGTTTGAATCTCTGCCTTCTGTTCTTTATCATTTGAATTGTTGAGTTGTATGTTAATTCTATGTTGTAACATTTTGAAGAAACACCAAACTATTTTCCACAGTGGCTGCATCATTTGTCAGTGTGCAGGGTTCCAGTTTCTCCACATTTCCTCCAATACGTGGTATTTTCTCTTTGTTTGATAATAGCCATACCCCAGTAAGGTATGGAGTAGTAATCTCATTGTGGTTTTTATCTGAATCTTTTTTATTCTTTACTTTTTTCTTTTTTTAAAAAAATTTTTATTCTCATTAATTTTACAAAGTTAACGGAGACTGAGGATTTCCATTCATTCATTGTCGTACTTTTCTCCCTGCCCACCCCTTCCTCCCAATTTGCTTTTCTCTTTGAAAAGTAAAAGAAAAATTATTTTATTTTATACAATCCCTCCCCCCTGAGTCCACTCCACTATGCAGCCTTCATTCTGGGCTCCTGTCATGGCAATAGTACCTAATCACATTGCCCTTTTAAACAGTTCTCTCCCTCATCTGTTTCAATACAGTATACATTATTTATCCCATCTTTCTTCTCAGTCTCCCTCTAACCACAACGTCAATCCTGTTTTACAACAGTGGCACTATGCCATATTTGTCCTTTTGTAATTGAGATACTTTACTCAACATAATGTCCTCCAGGCTCACCCATTTTGAATAATATTGCATGAGTTCCTTGTTTTTCAATGCAGCGTAGTATTCCATTTTGTGAATATACCACAGCTTCTCTATCCATTTGTTTGTTGATGGCATTTAGGTTGTTTTCAAATCCTTTCTATTGTGAACAAAGCCACGATGAACATGGGTGTGCATATATCTGTTTGGGTGGCAGTTATGATTTCTTTACGGTTTATTCCCAGTGGTGTAATTGCTGGGTCAAATGGTATCTCTATTTGCAACTTTCTGAGCAAGTGCCATACTGCCTTCCACAGTGGTTGCACCATTGTACATTTCCACCAACAGTGAATAAGGATTCCATTTTCTCCACAACCTCGCTAGCATTTGTTGCTGTTTTGTTAAATTTTGAAATTTTTACTGGGGTGAGATGATACATCATAGTTGTTTTGATTTGCATCTCTCTTAAAGCTCGGGATTTTGAACATTTCTTCATGTGCTTGTTGGCCATCTGAATGTCTTTGATGAAGTGTCTGTTCATATCCTGTGCCCATTTTTCAATTGGATTGTTTATCTTGTTGTGTTCAAGTATTTTATAAATTCCAGATAGAAGCCCCTATCTGACATGTCATTATCAAATACTTTTTCTAGTTTGTGGCTTCCCTTTTTACCCTGATAGAGAAGTTTTGGGATGTCCATAGGGATTTGATTCTTAGAAGGTCCCATTCATCTATTTTATCTTCTCCTCATTGTAGATGATCTGACTCTTTTGAAAAATAGTGTTGATCATCTTTTATGTGCTTCTAGGCCATTTACATATCTTTTGAGAAATGGCGTGTGTGTGTGTGTGTGTGTGTGTGTGTGTGTGTGTGTTTTAATGAAAGTTTACAGAGACTTAGGGTTTCTAGTCATTCATTGTTACACTTTTCTCACTGCCCACCTCTCCCCCCAATTCACTATTCTTGAAGAAACACTCTTGTTTGTATGCAATCCCTTCCCCCCAAGTCCGCTCCACTGTGCAGCCTTCATTCAATTTGATGGCAGTGAGTTGATTAAGTTTCTTCTCATTCTTACTTTTTTTGTATTTTTGATGTATGATAGGGTCTTATGGTTATCACGGAAGTCCACAATTGGGGTTGTGTGGTGGAGTGTACTTGGGACGGTGGGAGGGGTGAAGGGGGATTGTGTACCAGGGAAGGAGTGTTTCTTTTACTTTTGAAAGAGAGGAGCGAACTGGGGGGGAAGGGGGGAGCATGGGCGGGGAGGTAAGTGCAGCAATGAATGAATGGAAATCCAAGATCTCTGTAGATGTTGATTAAAAATATAAAAAAAAAATCTTGAGGTAAAATTGAAATTGTAGGATTTTTCTCTTTCTATGTGTTTAAGTCTCTTGTTTAGAATTAACAAGACTTCCTGGGAGGCCCTTATGTTTAAAAGTTGGGCCTGAGCAATTATATTTTAATCCATTGTTACTATATTTTGGAGTAACATTCTTCTAAGTCATACAACAGTCTGGTAAATTTGGTTGGATGAGGTAATCTGGGTTTGCTGTGACACTGAATCTTGTGCCATTTTGGTCACAAATGCCATAATGGAACAACTGTGCCATAGTTGTGCCAGACACCGAAATGGCTACCCGTCATGGGCAGTGTTTGGTGGAGCTCCCAGATTGATTCAAGATTGTTTCAGGTTTGGAAGCAGGAGTGACGTTCACTTCCTAAACCTCTGGAAACTCATTGAACTTGGAGAAACACAATAGTTATAGACAGTAGTTTCACGGTATCCTTCATTCACATTGTGTTTCATATAATCATTCATATTCATTATGTTTTATAAAATCAGTCACCATTAAACCCTGCCCACCATTATTACCCTGTCTATCCAGATCCCCGCCTTTTATTGTTTCTTGTTACTGATATGAATTCTTTTTCTAGGACAGTTGCTGTACAATTATAATCAGTTTTTGGAGTATGTGATGGGCCTAATATAAACTGTTTTATACAATTGTTTTATGCATTTGTTTTATACAGTTTGAGAAAACAAAATTTTAGGATTTTACGGGGAGTAATTTTGCTTTGAAATTAGGAATAAGGTTTTGAAACAATGTTTATATTGTATTTATACTGAATATACTGTATTATTTGACTAAATATATAATAAACTACATTTATCTTTAATAGATTGATGAACTCCCAGAAGGAGCTGTGAAGCCTCCAGCAAACAAATATCCTATCTTCTTTTTTGGCACCCATGAAACGTAAGTGAACAAAACTTTGACATTTCAACTTTAGGTTGATTCTGGTGGCATAATAAGTATGGTACCAGGCTGCGAATTCAGAGGTCAGTAGCTGCTCCTTGGGAGAAAGATGGTCAGCTTCCTCCTTGAAAGATAGCCAGCTTTGGCAACCTAATGGAGAGTCACAATAAATCAGAATTTACTCAGTTGCAATGGATGTGGAAAACTGCCCTGTTAGTTGAAAATGTATAACATTTTCTATATTGTTAAAACAATATGATCAGTTTTATAAAACTGTTAATTCTTAATATTGAAAAGTTTTCATCTTAGAATTCTTAATGACTGAAAGCCTATTTTTTTTAGTATCATTTTTATTCTGCTTTAATGTTCGGTATTACCCAGAAATCTTGTTTTATATACTCTTAAGCCCTAGGTGGCCCTCTTACATTCCTGGTAATTTCTTTTCTGGATATTGATATTTCCCTTTTGGAGAAATTTCTTTTGTTCTTATCTCATAGAACAAACTTTGTTCTCTCAGTCTCTTCTAGCTTGCTGAGCCCTGAGTTAAACATAAAATATTTTTAAGATTTTCTAGCTATTGTTGGTTAGGATACAGGCTAAAATTCTTATAATAAAGAAACCTGAAAATACAGCAGAGTCTCACATAATATAGAAGTTTCTTTCTTTTGAAACATTTCAGAGATTTAGAAATAGTTCAGGTTAGAAAACAACTCTGACCTAAGGACCCAAGTTCCTTCAGTCTTATTGTCCTACCATTTCCCAGGATTGCCCTTATCTCCTTATTAAAAAACTGATGCAACAGTCTTTTAATATTACCAATTAATATTATAAAACAAAACCTTTGTGTTCTCAGTGCAACTCCCTACAGACTACGCCACCAGAGCAAAAGAAGAGAACAGTATATAATAGGGTACATTTGGCACTCGCTGACACAGTAGTACTGTATATGGCTATTTACAATATGGAAAACAGATGGAATAGAAATTGCAAGTGTGAGGAAAGAATAAAAACTTACCATGAAATCTTATGCCTCTGTCCAAGATCTTACCTTTTGTTTGCTTATCAGTAGAGGTATGAACACAACCAACCATTAATGCATTTGACACATCAGTGTCACAGTGTTTGCCTCACAGCAACCACAAGTGCAGTACAGCAACTTGTACACCAGGGCTATATGACATAGAGGAATGTCTGAACAAAAACAATGAAAGACAGGCCTGAGGGCCCACCTTTGTCAAATGTAATGGTTGACTACCCAATGCGGACAGGGAGTGGGGTGGAGCTCCCTGATTAAAACAAGCATGGAAGGAGGAGTGGCATCCACTTCCGTAATAGCTTGCCTCCAGAAACCCTATGAACCTGGAGAGGGAGAAAGGCACGCAAGCACCAAGGACTCTCCTTCATAGGGTTGCTATGAGTCACCTGTGACTCGACGGCACTTAAAAACAAGAGGTATGAACTTTGAATCAATAGAGATCTCTGTCAGTTTGACATCTTCCACATTCTTATCATGAAAGACAGTCAGTCAGAAGAGCGTCCTCCAATCGAATTTCTTCCCCCCCCCTTTGATGTGAAAAACAGGTTTGTTTCAGTTGAGTAGTTTTGTTTTTCTTTGAAGCTAGTAGGAACTCTAACTGTTGGAACTAATTTTATTAATCACATTTTCCTCCTTAGAGAGCTTTCTAGAAAGCTTAGAATGAAATTATTTATCTCTAATAAAGAAATAAATTTTTAATACAGAATTTTGTATTTGTCTCAATCCTAGTTCTCATTTTATTCCTGTATCATTGTTTTTCTTTTCATTTTGGACCTAATTTTAAGTGACATAATTCTATTTCTGGGATAGAAAAAGATGGGATTTAGTAAGTAAAATTATCACACTTCTAATATAAACATCAAAATCAACCATTTATCATATTATTTAAGGGGGATAGTTTCCATTCATTTAATAAACTTTTTTAGGCATTTTGCAAGCTACTAGAAATAAAAGATGTCCTTAAAGAGTTTGGCACTTGGTATATTGCTGGTGAATACAACCAAATCATTCCAGTGAGCTGTGTAAAGAGTTTCACAGAGCTTTTTCTTACAGTATCCTCAATAGAAGTCAGTAGCTTATTACGATGCTTACCTTGATAAAAGCAGTTCTAACAAGTACCTGTAAAATATCGTGTGGTTTTGCTATCCAGGTATGTTGTTGTTGTTATGTGCCGTCGAGTCGCTTGCGACTCATAGCAACCCTATGTACAACATCCCTAAACTCTTCTCTGTCCTGTACCAATTGCACCGTCTCCGATACACCCATTCCGATTACCCCAGTCACTGAATCAATCCACCTCATAGGGAGCCTTCCCCTTCTGCGCTGTCCCTCCACCCTACCAAGCATGATGTCTCTCTCCAAGGGTCTGTCCCTCCTTGCAACATGTCCAAAGTATGTTAGACGAAGCCTTAGAATCCTTGCCTCCAAGGAGCCGTCCGGTTTGACCCTTTCCTAGCAGTCTATGGTACCCTCAATACTCTTCTCCAAGCACCACAGCTCAAAGGCATCAATTCTTCTTCTATCCTCCTTAGTCATTGTCCAACTCTCTGATGCATAACAAGTGATAACAAAGACCATAGCCTGTATCAGATGCACCTTAGTCTCCAAAGAGACACCATTGCTCTTCAGTACTTTGGAGAGGTCCCTAACAGCCGACTTTCCCATGGCAGTATGTCTTCTAATTTCCTGGCTGCTGGTGCCAAGACTATTGACTGTGGAGCCAAGCAAACTGAAGCTGTAAACAATCTCGGTCTCTTCACCATCCATCCTGATGCTGCCAGTTGGTCCAGTGGTGAGAATCTTTTTCTTCTTGACATTGAGCCTCAGTCCATATTGGAAGCTGCAGTCCTTGACCCTCTGCAGCAAGTGCTTCAGGTCCTGCTCATTTTCAGCAAGCAGGGTTGTGTCATCTGCATATCGCAGATTTTTGATAGATCTTCCACCAATCTTAACCCCACATTTCTCCTCATAGATCCCAGCCTCCTGGATAATCTGTTCTGCATACAGATTGATGATCCAGGTATAGATCTTTTTAATAAATACCTAGAGTACAAGGAAGGAATTTCAAATAACCTTGCATTTAATGTTGTTTTGAGTGAAGGTTTACTCAATATTAAACTCGGCCACTGCCACTATGTCAATTCTCACTCTCTTCATTAGGTTTCCTATATATCTTCACAGAAGGAGACTGCTTTCTTACTCTCCCTGAGTGGTTAGTGGATTTAAACTGCCAGTCTTTTAGTTAGCAGTCCAGCACATGAACAACTGTGTCACTGGCTATTAGGCATAAAACTGAGATTATATGCCCTGGCAAGTAAGTTCTGGCAAGGCACGTACCTAATATTCAACCCTTCTGTAAAGGCAGAGTTCACGTTGCTTACTCCTGTGTGCACAGCAGTTAGCCAGTGGTAATAAACTACCTGTTCAATGAATTTTAATTAAGTAGTCAAAATCTCAAAGGTATGGGAAAGGTGAGGAACTTAACAAGAGATTCTGTGAGCTCTAGTTATAAGTCATCCAAAGGCTTACCCTCATGTAGAGGCAGGGTTCTCCTCCAGATGTGACTGATTGTATTCTAATGCCCAGAGAGTTCTACTCTGTATATATAACGTAGCTCTAGGAGTTTTGATCTTTTCCGTTTTCAAGGCAGCCTTGGCCAGGGGGGAAGAAAAATATCATTCTTAGGGCATGTGACTTTGAATAATTTTGTTTCTGGCTGCCCTTTAAATGTAAAACATGTAATAAAATAACCAATTCAAAATGGGTTTGATGTCTAGAATTATCTGTATATTAGGGGAGAGGCAATCTATCAGAAATAAGAACTTACTATAGAATAGTTGACTCGTGATTACTCTGTGACAGCGGCTAACATGGCCACTTGTCATTTAAAGCCTTTCCTAGGGAAGAGAGGGCAAGGCCACCATTTTGTTCACATGAAAATACTTTCTGTTCTCTGTAGCAGGACTTACATAACAGATAATTATGCATTTTATTAATAAAATAAGGATGAATAGAAATTATTAACTCTTTCATCCAAAAATAATAACCATTAACTCTGATTCTTATGGCCTAGTTAAGATTTTGGTCAGCATCCCCAGCTGGTGGTCTGTGTGCTGCTCTGGCGGCCTAGCTCATAATCGGCACCTGTGTGTAGAGTCAAAGGCTGCCAGAGTTTGATATTATTCAAGACAAAGTACTGTGACAGTAGAATCGCCATTCCCAAAATCTGTTTCTTTCTAATGTTCAGTTCCATTTGCTTGTTTTTTAAAAAGTTATTTTTTAAAAAAAATTTAGGAATCTGCTAAACTCTTTCTTGGTTCACTGAAATAAAGTCATTCTGGCTCTGCAGTAAACGAAGAACTAATAGGGAAAGTTTGATTTCTTAAACTGGTCTGGAGTCAAAAACCATACTCACTTTTTTATGAGCTTGAAGTTTTCGATGTGATCAGTGTGAAGGATCAATACTGAAACACAGTCAGGAAATGGAACTTAAAACCATCAACAACAAACTACTAAGCTGTATCAAAGCTTTAAGTATCATCTGCAGGTGATAATTCCTAGATTCATGTCTCTAACTTAGATATGTCCTCCGAACTCTAGAGCCATCTCTTAAAATATGAATTATCATTTTGAAAAACCTCTGATGGGCTGCCAGCTCGCCCAGAGCTCTTACAGTGACCTCCCAGGGCCTGAGTTATCAATTTGCCATTGCATAGTACTCTCCCCCTTTAGCCTCTTCTGTTTCTTGAACTTAATCTCACTCTGGCCTTTGCATTTGCTCTTCTTTGAGCGTATTCCACTCGTTCCTAGTTGACACCTGAGTTGCTTCACTTCTTTTATTTATTTTCTTAGCTAGGCCATTTGGGCACACTATGTATTTTATTTACCCTTCTTATTTGCCTAAACTGCACCATTACATTACTTATTCCATGAGGGAGAGATGTTTGTTCCACTGGTCCTCTCACAATCTCTAGCTCCACTGGAATGGTGGCTGATGCATAATAGATGTTCACTAAATAGAGGATGAATGAATGAATAAATGAATCTTAGTTAATAATGGAAACTTCAAAGGAGTCTGCCAGGACTCCAAATAATTTAGGTAATAATGATGGAAACTCTAACTTAAATGCTCAGCTCTATTAACTGACTCAAGTATTTAGTCTGTTGACACATAAGAATTCACACCCTTTTGAAATAAAAGCAAAGAGACTTATGGATGCTAATTTCTCAGATTGGAGAAACAAGGCAGGTAGGAATCTACAGTGCTCAAAGGCATGGAGAAAGAGTTATGCTTTTATAATAAAGATGAGGAAGAGATTTGTGTGATGGTCACCAAGTGAGCATAACATCAGCAACCCCACTGCAGACCATGTTCTTCCTGAGTGCACTGCTCTTCTAAGTGCATTCCTGTCCTCCGTCTCCATTCACTAAGCTACCATCCTGACCTCCATGCTAAACAAGTGATATGGCCCACGGTCTTCTAGTCTGGTGCAGCTTAAGGCTGAAGGCCAAATGCATATAAATGAGAGGAAGTTGAGGTTATATCCTCAGGAATGAAGAAGCAGGAACTTGGAAGCAAATGGAATTTTGATTCAGACCTTATGTCAACCATTTTATTATTTCAAATGCCTTACTTTTAGAAATTTTTAGCTGAAAGTAGAGAGTACCAGAGGAATGTCTATCTGTATTTCATTGTCTATGCAAAGGCACTTGAATGCATGGATCACAACACATTGCAGCTAACTTTGAACAGAATGGGAATCCCAGAACACTTGATTGTGCTTATACAAAACCTATACTTGAACCAGAAGGCAGTCATCCGAACAGAGCAAGGAGATACTTCATGGTTCAAAATCAGGAAAAGTGTACATCAGAGAAGCATCCTATCACCATAACTTTTCAATCTATATGTGGAACATCATTGTGGAGGCTAGGCTCTATGAGGAGTAATGGGCATCAGGATTGGAGGTAGACTCATCACAGTATGCATTATGTAGATGATACAACATTGCTTGCTGAAATTGAGGAGGACCTGAGGCACTTGCTTCAGAAGATCAAGGACTGCAGCCTTCAATATGGATTGAAGCTCAGCATCAAGAAAACAAAAATTTTCACCACTGGGCCAATCAGCAGCATCATGATAGAGAAGAGATTGATATGCTTAACAGCTTCAGCTTGCTAGGTTTCACAGTCAACACTCTTGGCACCAACAGCCAAGAAATCAAAAGATGGTTTGCCTTAGGAAAATCTGTCAGGGACCTTCCAGAGTACTGAATAGCAGTGATGGTAGTCTAAGTTGCGCCTGATCCAGACCATGGTCTTCACAATTACTTGAAATGCATCAGAGAGCTAGACAATAGCTAAGGATAGTAGAAGAAGAATCTATGCCTTTGAGTTGTGGTGCTGCAGAAGAATATTGAATATACCATGGACTGCTAAGAGAATAAATAAGTCTCTCCTGGAGAGGGTGAAACCAGGCCATTCCTTGGAGGCAAGGATTTTTAATCTCCGTCTGACATACTTTGAGCTTGTTGTAAGGAGGGACCAGTCCTTGGAGAAAGACATCATGCTTCGGAAGGTAGAGGATCAATGCAAGAGAGGAAGACCATGGATGAGATGGATTGACTCAGTGATTGGGTTAATGAGGGTAGGTGTGTGAGAGGCAGTAAAGTTGGCTCAGGATAGAACAGCGTTCAGAGCTATTGTATTATAGGGTCACTTAGAGTCTCAAGAGACTCGATGGCACGTAATGACAGAAGTACAAATTTATTTTCCAATGGTGATAATTATTTTGGGATAAGGTTTATATTGGATAAGATCATATATACCCTACTATTTCTATTTTTGTATTTTCATTTATTGTTGTTATTAGGTGCCATCTAGTTGACTGTGACTCATAGTAGCTGTGTGACGTTCCCTGGGGTCTAGTGGTTAGGATTCTGCGCTCTCACAGTAGCTGTGTGAACAACAGTTCTTAACCTTGTCCTGTCCTTACCATCCTCCCAATCTCTGATATGCTTGAGCCTGTTGTTACAACAGTGAATTGTCAGTCCATCTTCTTGAGGGTCTTCCTCTTTCTCTGACCCTCTGCATTTCCCAGTAATGATGGGTTTTTCCAAGGGCTGTCCCCTCCTGACAACACACTCTCAGTGTGCAAGGTGAAATTGCACCATCTTTGCCTCTAAGGAGCACCCTGACTGATACCTCCAAGGCAGACTTGTTTGTTCTTTTGACGGTCCATGCTGTGTTCAGTACTCTTCTCCACAGGTCAAAGGCATTGATTGTTCTTCAGTCTTCCTTATTCACTGTCCAGTTTTTATATGCATAGAAAGCAGTTGAAAATAGAATGGCTTGGATCACTCAAACCTTGTCTTTAAACCAACATCATTGCTCTTTAGCACTTTGGAAAGGACTTCCCTATGTAACTTGCCTTTTGATTTCTTGACTTCTGTTACCATGAGTGTAAATTCCAGATCCAAGTAAAAGGAAATCGTGGACAACTTCATTCTTTTCTCCATTGGTCCAGTGGTGAGGATTTTTGGTTTTTTGATGTTGAGATGTAATCCATCTCATATTTTTATACTTAGTGCCTCAGCAAACACTTAAAAGATTTTTTAAAAATATATAAAAGTATTAGTGAATTATGTATTGATGTGATATTGCTGTTGCGTGCTGTCAAATTGGAATTAATCCATAAATGATCCTCCAGCAGGTTTTCAGAAGCAATTAACACATGGAAGGAGATTGTCCATCCTTCTCCTGTGGAGCAGCTTGTATATCCAAACCGCATGTCTTTGGGATTGCAGCACAGCTTCTTACCACTCGGTCACCAGAACTCCCTAATGTGATACTTGAATTATATATTTGTTTGATCTCATAGTCATATGGTTGCTATAATTTTTCATAAAACCCTTTTCTAAATGTATGTTAAAATTAACATAAATAAAAGCCTTTTAATATAAACAAACTTTAATATAAGGTGATAATTTAAGTGCTGAAGTAAACTTATTTAATGGTACTTGTGTAACAGAAGCTCTCGTGGCCTACTGAGTAAGGAGTTGTGTTGCCAACTCAAAGGCAGATAGTTTAAATTCACTAGTTGTTCCTTGGAAGAAAGATAGACACTCCTCCCATGTGATTTGCGGCTTCCTCCCATGTGATTTGTGGCTTCCAAAAACCCACTGCAATGAGTTAGTCATTCAGTCAGTGTGTAACTAAAAACCAAATTTAAAACAAAGAAGAGACCTCTAAAGAAACCATAACTGCCACCCAAGCAGATGTATGCACACCCATGTTTATTGCAGCTTTGTTCACAATAGCAAAGAGTTGGAAACAACTTAAGTGCCCATCAACAAACAAAGGGATAGAGAAGCTGTGGTATATTCACACAATGGAATACTGTGCAGCATTGAAAAACAAAGAACTCATGAAATATTGTACAAAATGGAGGACCCTGAAGGGCATTATGTGAGTGATATATCTCAGTCGCAAAAGGACAAATACTACATAGTACCACTGTTGTAAAATGGGACTGACATCAGGATTGAGGGGAGACTGAGAAAGAGGGAATAAATAATGTATACTGCATTGAAACAGATGAGGGAGAGAACTGTTTAAAAGCAATATATGACTAGGTATTATTATCATGACAGGAGTCTAGAATGAAGGCTGCATATTGGAGTGGACTTGGGGGAAGGATTGCACAACAATGAATTTTTTACTTTTCAAAGAGAAGAGTGATTGGAGGGAAGGGCTGGGCAGGGAGAAAAATACAACAATGAATGAATGGAAATCCAAAGTCTCTGTAAACATGCATTAAAGTTAATAATTTTAAAAAAAAGCCAACAAAAAAGACATTACTAATTTAGAAGCAAATTTTAAAGTAATACAAGCCAGGGTTGCTTGCTTGTATCTCAGCTATTCATATTTTTTTTTCATCTGAAACATGTTCAGATATATATATATCTTAGAGAGTTTATATATACACTTATATAAACTGAAACTGATATTTAAATTATCTTATTTTCTTGAAGGCTATAGTGTCATGACTATTTTTAATATTTCCCTGCAGGGCATTTCTAGGTCCCAAAGACCTTTTCCCATATAAAGAATACAAAGACAAATTTGGAAAGTCAAATAAACGGAAAGGATTTAATGAAGGGTTGTGGGAAATAGAAAATAACCCAGGAGTAAAGTTTACTGGATACCAAGTAAGTTTATTTTGTTATCCCTCATGATACCTCTTTTCTTTAGTTTTTCTTTTTCAGTCCTGTCTTTTATGTCCTCGATACTAATGGTCACTATCTGTTTGAAGTCAGAATGTTTTTTGGTTCCAGCAGTAATTTTGATTAAATTCTGTAATCCAGAGATCAAGTGGTCAGTAGAAAATTTAATTTGCCAGACCATTATTTTAAAAATGTTAAGAATATTTTATAAGGTGTTCAAGAGTTATAGACAACAGAAACAAATAAAATTACATACATAATCCTGCATTCTCAGTACATTACAAGTGGATATGTGAGTAGACAGACAAGATGAATAAATAAGGATGAATGAAAGAAACTATACCCAGGGCTATATATAGGTTTAAAAAAAACCCAAGAAATAGAAAGCATTGATGCTAACTCATAATCTTGAGAAAGTTTCTGAGGCTGTAAATCTTGATGAGGAGACTGTGCATCTCTTTCTTGTGATCACATGGTGCATTTGAATCTCTTGATTCTTTGATTTGCAGCCCAAAAGAAATGCATTAGACCACCAGGGCTCCATGTATAGATTTGGCAGAAAAAATTTCCATGTTCTTTTTTTATTTGTGTTGTAAGTATACCCATATATATCCAGTAGAGCCAACAGGAGGCAGAGGTAAACTTCTTACGTGTCATTGAAATCCAGTGCCCACTGGGAATGAGTCAGTCACTGATCTGGATTCGCAGGACCATCGTCTTGGGGGACATGAAAGTCAATTGGTATAACATAGCCCATGAAGGTATATTCTACATCCTATATGTTTATATTAATATTCTACATCCTGTTTATTACATCCTATAATATTCACTACATCCTGTAGTGACTGAAAATCTTTCAAATGGCCATCTAAGATACAAGTCTTGATCTCTCCTTTCCAGAGAAAAGAAAAGTGAGAACTGTCAAAGGCAGATGGTAACAATTAATCCATAATGCTAATGATCTTCACAAATCTCAATGACCACAGCCCTGAGATCAGAAAAACTAGATGGTACTAAGCTACCACAAGTAGCCTTCTGAGTTGACCCCTCTGAAAGGCATCACAATACTAGGGTCTTACATAAGCTTGGAGGAAAATGTAGAACAAAGCTTAGTTATAATAATGGCTAGGTTTACTGATAAAGACAAGTGGAACCTCTGAGACTATGGCCCTTAGTTAACTTTTGAGTCTGGAAAAGAATTCATCCATGTGCTCATCTTTAAGTCAAACTTAAAGGCCAATAAAGTAAACTGTAACACCAGGTAGGTACTTAATCAGCCCAGTGATAAAGCTCAGAAAGGGAAAGGATATTAGAATGAATGGAAAGAAGAATCACAGAAGAAATCTAAAGAGTGCTATTGCAGTGTAAAACAAATGTGCATGAATGGTTGAATGGAAAACCAGTCTACTCTGTGAACCTACACTTAAATCATAATAAACAGGTCTTTAAAAAAAAATAAAAACAAAACACTAAAATCAAAGGATGAGATTTTGTATTACCAGGCTTTCCCATTAAAAGGATCAGTTAGTTATAATCCTGCATGTTGCTATATACTATCAAGTTGGAACCAACCCGGAGCTTACCCTCCGGTGGGTTTTCAGAGGCAGTAATTGTACAGGAGGAAATTGTTCATTCTGCGGAGCAGCTGGTGTGTTCAAACTGCTGCGTGCCTTTGGGATTGCAGTTCAGTTTACCACAAGGCCACCAGAGCTCCTTCTGCATACGCATAAATTTTTTTATTAAGAAAAATGTATTTCTTAGTTTAAAAAAATACCTATAACAATAAGCTAAACTCCTTCCAATGAAAATAGAGTCTTTAATCAAGACAAGGGTGCTGGCTCTCACCCCTCCTCTTCGGTATTTAGAAGTCCTAGCCACAGCAAAAATATAGGAAAAAGAAATAAAAAATAGCTACATTAGGAGAGATAAAATTATCTCTACTGCTAGATAATATGATCCTGTATAGAAAATAACCAAGAATCCAAATAACTTTAAAGCTAATAGAAGAATTTAGCAGAGTTGCAGGGATAAGGTCAGCAAGAAAAAAAGAACATGGATTTTCATACACCATCAATGAGAAATTGAAAGGGAAAATAAAGGGGGAAATTACATTTATAATAGCATCTAAGAAATGAAGTTCCTAGTAGTAATTCTAACCAGGGACATTAGGATTTACACAATGAAAACTATTAAACACCTGGTAAAAGAAATTAAAGATTTAAATAAGTGGAAAGATGTTCCATGCTCATGGATTGGAAGACAATACTGTTAGGTGAATACTACCCACAGTGATTTTTACAATCACTGTAATCTTCGTCAAAACTCTAGGAGTATATAGATTTAAAAAAAAAAACCAGTCCTACTCATCTCAGTGGCACCTAACAACTAAAAAATCACAATGGAACTCAATATAGAAGCAGATATTTTGGCAGAAATCTTTCTTGATTTCACACTCTTCTTGTAGTCTAACTGGTGTCTCCAACCTTGCTGCCTCACCTGTAGATTTTGGATTTTCCAGGCCACCTAATTGTGTGAGCCAGTCACTTGAAGCAATTAATCTTTTATTCTCTCTCAGATTATTTTAAGGCTAATCAAGAACAGACCCACACAAAAAAACAAACAACAAAATGATCCTCAATTTATATGGAAGGGCAGTTAGAGCCATACAGCTAAAACAGTGTTGAAATAAAAGAACAAAGTGGAAGACTCAAATTTCTTAATCTTAAAACATTATGTAACTCCAGTAATCAAAATCTCAAGCTAGACTCAGAGGCGGTAGTAGAACAAGGATGTATTATTACTGTTATGGGATGGATCTGAAAGCAGAAAATAATAGAAAAATGTTTACTTTTGTTTTATTGACTGTGCAAAGGCATTTTCACTGTGTGGATTATAACAAATTTTGGATAAAAACACTGAGAAGAATCTAAATCCTAGAACACTTGTGTTCATTCAGAGCCTGTACATAGGTCAAGATGCAACCATTTGAACAGAACAGAGTGATACTGGATGATTTAAAAAGGAAGGTTGTGTGCCAGGGTAATGTCCTTTAACCACACATACTCAACTTGTATGCTGAACACATGATCCAAGAAGCAGGGCTACATGAAGAAAATAGCATCAGGATTAGAAGAAGACTCAATAACAATTTGCATTACAGATGACACCCTTTGCTTGCTGAAAGTGCTTCATATGCTTGTGAAAATGGAATACTGAAAAAGGAAGACTAGAGAAAGATCTGTGCCTTTAAAGTTTGCCCCTGGCAAAGAGTAGTGAATATACCATGGACTGCTGAAATTACAGACAAAGCTGGATTGGAAGAAGTGCAGTCAGAGTGTTCCTTAGAAGGAAAGATTGTTAGACTGACTGTCTTACATATACATTGGGCATGCTATCAGAAGGAACCAGTTTTTTAAGTGGATATGATACTTAGAAAGGTGGAGATTTAATGAAAGAGAAGAAGACCTTTGCAATATAGATTGATACAGTGACTGTAACAGTGGGCTTGAGTACAGCAGAGTATGTAAGACTCGTCTAGGATCGGGCCAGGTTTTCCGTCTCTTTTACTTAGGTCACTGATTTGAGTCAATGCAACAGTACCAGATAGCAAGTAATCAGAATAGTCTCATACTATTACTATCAATTTCACCTTGCTCAGTTCCACAGTCAGTACTCTTGGAACCATAGTCACAAAATCAAAAGATGAATTGCATTAGGAAAATCTGCTGTCAGGGACCTCTCCAGAGTACTAAACAGCAACATTCAAGAGATGAAGGTGTGCCTAATCCAGGCCATGGTCTTCGCGGATACTTGCCTATGCGTTAGAGAGTTGAACAATGAGTAAAGATGACAGAAGAAGAATTGTTGCCTTTTAATTGTGGTACTGGAGAAAAGTATTGAACATACCATGGACAGCCAAGAGAACAAATAGATGTATCTGTCCTGGAGAGGGTGAAGCCAAGTGGCTTTTTAGAGGCAAGGATTTTGAAGCTCTATCTCACGTACTTTGGGCATGTGGCCAGGAGGGACCAGTTTTGGAGAAGGACATCATGCTTGGAAGGGTGGAGAGAAAAGTCAGGAGAGGAAGACCCTGGATGACATAGATTGGCACAGTAATTAGAGTATTGGGGTCGGGGGGTGTCCGAGACAGTGAGACAGACTCAGGATAGGACCGAGTTTAGAGCTATTGTGCATAAGGTCGCTATGAGTCACAGTCGACTTGATGGCACAAAACAGCAACAACATACTATTTTAACAACAGACATACAGACCAATGGAATAGACTTGAGAGTCTAAAAATAAATCTGTATATCTGTGGTCAACAAATTTTTAACAAGAATGTTAAGCCTGTGTGATGGGGCAAGAAGAATCGTTTCAGTAAATGATGCAGGGGAATTGGATTACTATATAAAATGCCGCAGAATCTATGTCACATCATAAACAGAAATAAATTCTAAATTAATTAAGGATCTAAATATTAAACATTGAATCTAAAACCATAAATTCTTAGAACAATCAAGCCTGGCTTTCAACGATGGATAGTCTTCTATAATCGAAGTATAAACCACAAAAGACAAAAGGAAGAAAAATGCTCAGCTCATTGTTGTCAAGTTGGAACTGACTCAGCTCTAGTGGATTTTAATTGCCAGAGGAGAGGGACTTTTGAGTTAACTGGGTAACTCCCTGTGGATTACATCACCAGAGCTCTCTTTGGGTAATAAATGAGACCTCATAATTTTTTTTAAAAAAACAAACTTTTGTTCATAAAAAAAAGGTTAACCAAAGTGTGAAAAGATAAGCTACCCACTAGGAGAAATTTTTGTAAATCATTTATATCTAGCAATCTAATAACTAGAACATGTATAAAACCTTGACAGCTTAACAACAAAAAGACAACTGAATAAAGGACTTTTAAAAAGCCATTTCAACAAATATGACTGACTAATCACATGAACCAATGCTCAGTGTAATTAGCCTTCTTAAAA